TAAAAAAAAAAGCTTTTACCCGTAAAATCACTGAAAATTTATATACGTTTTGATTAGACAGTTGAATTAGCTGCAAAGTATTTTGCAAATAAAAAAATAATAATAATAATAATAATGACTCTTTTCAAAAAAATTCCAACATTAAAATACTGAAAAATTTTGTTGTTGAAATCATATATAATTTTATAAAGACTACAGAATCAAACATCAAAAAATTTTATGAAACCTGAAGATGTTATCAACAAAACTGAAACTTGTTGTAATCAAAAAAAAAAAAGAAATAATCTTAAAATAGCATTAAAACATAAAGCTTTTTTTTTTTGCTTCTCTAGTTTCAAAAAAAATAAAGAAAAAACAATCTAATTTAGGACTTTTTTCTATTGTTGTTGTTTTGATGTCTCTGCTGTAATACCAAACATCAATACTCCAAAACCCCCCCAAAATTTGGTGCCAAATAAAGTTTAGTCTAAAAAAACCATAAGTGTTCTGATAGCTAAGCAGCAGCTGTCATTGGTATACAGCTGTGATATCGTTTTATGCAACTTTGGTATTTACTGGTTTTCCGTTGATATCATAGGAATAAATGGATTGAGCATACGGTGAATTCCAATCTCGCATAAAAATTTTTTCATTAACATCTTTGACAATTTGTGACTGTTGCATAATATTATCACTTTTGATCGTTATTCCAAATCCCGCTGTTGATTCAAAATAATCACCAGACCAATTTGATGTTCCTTAAAATAATTGCTTTGCATCGGGTATAAACATTTTCAGTTGTTGAGTAATATAACTAATTTAGTTTATCAAATTAAAGTATTTCAACCTTATCCTCTCTTTCTGTTTCCAAAAAAAAAAAAAAAAAATCGTTGCTAATTAAAACATTTCTTCTTCTAATCTTTCATTAATTTTCTTTTTTGAATTGATTGAAAAAAAATGGCCTAATTCAAACAGTTAGTAAAATTTGCATTAATTTCACATTTGTATTAAAAGAGTTTTTTTATTCTGTAGAAGGATAAGAACAAAAAAAAAAATGCTTTTTTTTTTCTTCATACCAATGAAAACAGCATTGTCGGTAACCATATATTTGTTGTGATTAACACGTGCAAACGGAATCTGTGACTGATTTCCAAATGCTGGAACTTCAAAAAGTCGAACTTCTATGGAACCCTTTTGAATGCAATCGTATTGATTTGCTGCAAAAGTGAAGAAGAAAAAAGATTAAATTAGATTGTACTTTTTCTGCGACAACATAATTTTATCAAACTGCTTAAAATCAAGAAAGTTCAAGTAAATTATGCCTTTACTTCAATAAGACCCTTATTTTTTGCTATTCACAATTTTATCTTCGATCTTTATTTACTGTTTGCTCTTCAAAAAAAAAAGCAAGCTTTTTTAAACAATGACTTCAGTTGGTCATCGTTATTACTAGTTTTTCGACCAGCTAAATATCGCTGACCGACTACAGAAGCAATACGTTGTTTTTGTTACTTTTGAGCAAAAAAGCTCATTGAGCAACTGGTTTGTAGGTAAAATCTTATTATCAGATTGAAAATTCAGTGAAAACTATTTTAGCACTTAAACAGCAAATAATACAACTTAAAACACCTTGCCGAGTGATATTTAGCAGGTGAAATCTGATATTTTTTTCAAGTAGAAGTATATTCTTACTTGTACTGTTGTACTTGGTAATACACTGAAGACCTTTGTTAATATCAGCGATTGAAAATAAAAATGGATATAGGACAGTTTTAGTGTGTGCCCATCGACTTATCAACAGTTTAACATTGACATATTTATAAGCTGCAGTACGTAAAGCGTCATCAATTATTGGCCAAAAACTGGAAGAAAAAAGAAAAACCAATTAAGAGGAAACTGGTGATCAAATTTAGAGTTTAATTTCTCGTCAGTTTTTCAACAATAGAATGTAACCGTAAAGAATATAAATAAAATATACAAATTTTTGTTGAATTCTGTACTGAATTAACTCTGTACCTGATTACTTTAAATATGCTTCTCAAAATTTTTATCTATCTTATGTATATCTCATAAAAATTTTACAGTTAAAAGAGGAATCAAAGAAATAAAATTTCTTTTTTACCGATTAGCCTGTTTTGCATATAAAATTGCTGGAATATAATCCATTACAGAAATATGTATAAACTGTTGAGCCGTATTAATAATATGTAATATAGCATTAATATCACCCTCTCTTCCATCAGCACAGAACTGTGGTGGTGCCGACTAAAATTTAATTGGTTTTTTCTGCTCCGCAACTTATTTACATATTTTAATTTTCAAAAAAGGAAAAAAAAAATTACGACATTACAAAACAAACATTTAAAGTAAAAGAAGTTTTTGACTTTGACAGCTCAATCAGATATATACACAACTAATTTTCAGCATTCAATCGAAGTATACTTATCTACAAATGTGTTAATGTATTGAACTGCTGTTTTCGCTGCTGTTGCCGCTGCTATTACTATTTTTTCTGCCAGATTAGATAAGACTTACTGAAAAATAGACGGCACTTTGATGATTATTCAATCGTACAGATAATGGACTGTTTTTGTTGTAAGCGGTGCTCAAACTTATTGGCCATCTACTTGGTAATTTGGCTTTTGGTGCTCCCATAAGCCAATAAATTTCCATCATTTTATTCATATCACTTGCTAAACATGGACAATTGAAAATAGCTACACCAAGTTCTTTCACCTAAAATTAACTTTTATTACCAGTTAAAATGTGAAAAAAAATGAAAAAAGAAATATGAAACATCTATAAATAGATGTAGTTTTTTTTTTTGTTAAAACTATTTACTGAAAATGTATTTTTTGCAATACTGACTTGCGTAAGTGAACGCCAATCAAAATTTGCAGATCCAACGTACAAATGCTTTCCATCAACAGTCCATGCTTTTGTATGAAGAATACCTAAATGAGATTGCATGAAAAAAAAACATGCATTATTTTTGTATCCAAAAAAGAAAAGATAAAGTGCTATATCAGCAAAGCATTAGCAATTTAATCGTTTATTTGAATAAGGTATTTTTATTAAATAAATTTTTGCTAAGGCATTAGTGAGATATAATTAGATGTTTTAAAAACTTTTAGGAGTCTAGTGAGTAGAAAAATTGTCTATACCTGATCCTAAAAAGTCAGTAAAATTAAGACTGCGAACATCGGCTAGACCGGCCTCAGACAAATATGCTGTTTCAGGATTACTTTGAGCATTTTGCGTAATTCTCAGTTTTATACCACGTTTGGTTGCTGCATCAATCAAACTTTGATACACCGATAATCCCTTTAAAAATTGTTGTTTCTTTGAACAGTTACATAATTTAGTATTCAGAGTTATACAAAAAAAAAAAAAAA